AAATACTTGAAGACCTCGTCAAGTAGTTCGTCAGGCAATTTGAGAATATGTATACGGTGCTTCAGTTTTCTCAAATACCAAACCATCACTGTAGGAACAATTTTCAAACGCATCACCATAATTATCAATAACTCGCGATTGTTAATATACTAGCAGCATTAATGAAATTCAGCAATGGTTTGCAAATTTTATTCCGCTAAAAGAAATGGTTATGAGACCTTGGTTTGATTTTCCAAGGCCAGTTCAGGCTCGAAACTGTAAGGGTACCAATTTCCAATTATTGAGATTAATAGTTCGCATTACAAACTTTTGTTGTAACAGTATTCCGAATGATTCAAGAAAATGGGGATTATTACTATGCTTACGATTATTGATTCTGAATATTTAAGGAAGTGGGAGAATCCCAGAAAGATCATGAACAAAAGCATTCTAAAACTCTGTTCCTAAAGTTACATAGTTTGGACATTCAATGAAAACGGTTTTCAACTTTCTGTGAGAGAGTTGATGTGTAACAATCACAACCTTTTTTTTTTGATTCAACCCTAACTGATTAGCCTAAAGATAAATGTTACACAAACAAGACGTGCGGCTCGCTTAATATTTGCAATGGTTGCAAGACTAAAATCATTCGTGGCGGCAAAAACAAAAAATACAAAGTTTACAAATTTGAATTTACTCTTCATCAAAGCACGCTGTATGTTTTCGATTTAGTGGATTGTTTTTCTTTATTGGTTCAAAATACAGTTTACTAACTACAGTTTAACAGAAATCTTAACTCACACAGTCTAAATGAAAATGCAAACTACTGAAATAATTCTATTAGTGGCTGGTTTGCTGATAACATTAATCCCTTCAACAGCTGCCATTTGCTTTTTACCACTTTTCCCGTGTTGTTCCTGCATAGCTGGTTGTATTATCATGTCATTCATTCAGTATAAGATCTGGACACATATCCAAACCTCACCAAGGTTGTCAGGGACTCCCAGGTGGCATTATGGTGGCTTTAAGATTATAGAACTATGGTTAAAAAATTTAGGTAGAAACATAAACCTATATTTAAAAATCAAAATAGTCGGGAAATTGACGGGGCACCTGATCCCGTCAAAATTGTATATTTATACAACTGACTCCGTGACGGCAGGGAGAAATTTCTCATGCCACACTCGGATTCGCTACACGGATTTTCAAAGCTTACTAGGAATGGATGTCAACTTCATTGGAAATGTAAGAAGTATTGTATTCGAATCCAGCCTAGTGGTTTCTGAGGGTCATTTAAAGGAGGTTTTAAAGAAACTTAGGCATGATTGCCAAGTGATATTTTCGGAGGGTTCACTGCCCTCCATTCTTAAAATTTTAGGAGATCATGGGCTAGAGGCAAGTAAACATGTTTGTCTCCCTGTGTGGGGGATGAATTTTGACTATAGTGATGTGGGTAAAGTTAAGAGTTTAACACTCTACAACGAATTTACAGCATGGACAGAACTCAATAAGTTCAAAGATCTAGAATCCTTGAAGATAGAATCGCCCAGATATGTTGAAGGCTCGTTAGGATTAGAATTACTCAACTTAAGAATAGACGGAGGGACCCCCGACGTAATTTCCCACATCTTAACGGAACATGTTCAACTTGATCTTATAAAATCGATGCTGCTCAAAGTACTTCCTACTAATTGGCTAGAATTCAGTACAAAACTAAAAGTTATTGAAGAACTAGAGATTGACGGTACAATAATGTACCTTCCCAATAAAAAAGCTTTAAGGGATCTCTTTTACATCAAAGATATTCCAGAAACAGACTTTGAATTGTTGAAACTATACCCATTAAGGACTCTCGGGTTCCATCCCAAGGATGGACAATCAAATCACCATCCTTCCCACTATCGGGAATTGCTTATTTCGATTCCGTCGCTATTAAATGTGATTATTGGTCCAAATCATTTCATGCTTAAAAAAGGTGAATGGGTTTTACAAAATGAACCTCTAAGCGTAACAGAAAATTCGATGAGATTTTTAAATATTTGGACATAAAGAACTTCCGCCATACAATGGGGTATACATAGATATATATATTTTAAGAATAAAATCAGTTCGTGAATAAAGATGAATGGTTATTGGTGTTGGGAAAAATCACAGATGACATACGAAGTGAGTCTAGAATTTGTTCCATCAGAAAAACAATAATTACGTCAAATGGTGAAAAGTTTTATGTCGTATCCTGCATATTGGGGGAGAATCTCACCTAATGGGNAAAAATTCTTCACTACTCATCTAATATAACTCTTAAGTAGTATATAGTTTAACTAAGCGAATTAATTTGTATTTATACCAAGCTAGCCTGGGAATTTCTCACTATCAAATGATATTAAAGTAATTATATGTTAACGTGATTGCATTCCGTAATTGATTAATTGAATTTAATTTAATTGTGAGGGGATTTCTAATATAAATCCATGACTAAATCCCCAGATTTTATGCTTGTTTTACATGACTTTTATAATTTGGTTCTTTAAGTACTTTAAGTAGTTTTTAATAAATATTGTTTCCCGTTTACAACGACATTTTATATTTGGCCTTATTTACCACGACCTCTGGCGTTACCACTCCCACGGCCTCTTTGGTTTTGGTTTTGGTTTCGTTCGTTGGTCGACAGAGTACTTGAACTTGATGACTCTTCCTTTGAGGCACCTTCCGACTGGTTGTTTCCCCCAGGATTCGACTTACGTCTTTTATTCCCAAGGTAATGAATTTCTTCAGTAGCTCCACTAAGTACCGTACCAATCTTTTCACGAATTCTTCTGGCTTTTCCTAACCAGTACGCAATTGTGCTCTCATAAGTAGTCTTGGAACGTACTTTCTCTTCGTATGAAGCAATTTCTGAGTTCAATGCCTCAATAGTGGGAAATTTATAAGTTGCCTTATTGGCTAACCAATCACTATAACACTTCCTCATCACTTTGAAGAAATTTTTGTCATTCTTATTCCGAGACTCACGGATATACATGAACAACAACCATGGATTCTGAAGAACAAATTCAATATAAGTATTGGTTCTACCCAATTCTTCGAAACTTCTCCAGTCAGAAGCGACTACCTTCCTATTTCGGTCCTCATCCAATTGATATGTTAGGACACTTGCAAACACCAATTCTAAAGTATCATCGATATCGACATCTGTGTGTTTTGCAATGTGTCTCCAAATCATACCGAGGTCCAAAACTTTACCAGCAGGGGGTGAAACCTTACCAGCTAATACATCTGCGCCTCTCAACCTTTGAGTAATACTATCACAGTATGTATGAAGGGTGAAAGTCAGCCTCATCGGAGTTAAAGACTATTAGACTATACATCGTATAAACTACCACACTAATTTATTTTATCAACATCAAAGATGTCTGACGTAGATTGGCAAAAGCCAGATAAATTCTACTTCATCAATCATAAAGATGAGATGGAAGAAGAATGGGATTTGAGTCCAAACGTGTTTGACCAATTCCCTTATGCGAGATACGTTGATATGAAGCACTTAGAGAAAGGTAGACAAAAAGTCTCTTTTGAAGTGGATCAAGGGCTTGCACTTAAACTTAGCCACTTGCCTAAGCTTGATGAAGCAAATCAGCTTACATATAATGATTGGACGACCTTTTTCAATGATATGCTATTTGATAAGCATCCAACATTACGAAAGGTTCTTGAAGAACCAGAGGGTTATGATTTTTATAATCCCGATTATCGTGTAGCTAGTTCCAACAATTGGCATTAATGAAAATGTAACACTCTCATAAACCATTTGGCTTATTTGAGTTTTGTACTCATTAAGGTGAAAAGCGATCCTGAAGAAATGTGTGGTTTTAATAGTGTTCTGTGTCAGGAAAATGGCATTCCATAAGTTTTACAGAATGTATTCATTTTTGGGAAAGAATGTAATACATCTACTACTTTGGTCCTCATCAGAGAAACCTTTGGCAATGGGCAGAATTTTTTTCAGAATTCCTGGTTCACAATGTTTGAACTTATCCATTCGAGTTTTTCTAAACGATTAGTTGGTTTGTAAAATTTATATTCTCTAAATAACGTTTTTGGCTGCAAATGCATATTAGAG